AAGTCAGGAGCTCCTGATACTAAAGCTTTTGTGGCACAGGACAGATAAATAGAGCTGAGCTAAAGTGTGTACTAGATGTGGCAAAATTATGTCTCTTGTTGGGTTTTGTAATGAATATTTTATGTGTAACACAGTGTGAGTAACAGTATTGAAGTTGTTAGCAGAATTTGAACTCTGTTAAAGAGATTATGAAACTGCAGTGTACTGTTCATAGATAAGAGAAAATGGAACCACCCCAGTGGCCTTGTGATAAGACTACAGTAATGCATCTTGTTCTCCGCCCTGACCTCTTACCTCCTAGGAGTGCTGCAAAGGCATTGTGCCTCACTCTCCACTGCCTTTCACCTTGTGGACTCAATTGCATCAATGCAAAGTGAAATGCTGTGAAATGTTGCTATTCTGACTTGCACTCATGTTGCAGAGGTGTATATGAGTACACAATGTACAAGGCAACAAAGAATCAGACTCATTTTGTTCAGCTGGTAGAGTTTGTGTGGAGTGCCTCATACCACTGTGGAGTGATACTCTGAGATGACTGTACTATGACATAGTGAGGCTCTGAAGCCATCTGCATCTCCTTAACTGAAAGATGTCTTCCAGGTAGATGTGAAAGAAGTGACTTGCCTAACAGGTAGTGGCATATGAATGGGGAACTAGGTCTTGCATATAAAAAAGGTTATTTGGGGGTAACTAGATTTCTTAAAATCCTAAGATCACAGCCCTTATTTTTCCCCAATAAATCATGGTAAATATACCGCTTTTTACATAATTTTTTTAAAATTGAAAGAAAAAATACAAGTGTACAGAAAAGAAAAACATAACAAATTATACAAAAAATTCCCAGAGATAAATATAACTGAAGCGGTTGTGATTTTTCAAGACTATGATTTAAAATAATGTACTGGTTTCCATTCAGGTAACAATGGGAGTATACACATGGGAATATATACATGTGCAAATCCCTGTACCCACAGAGAACCCCATGGAAGTCTGCTGCAGGATTGAGACCTTGGAAATGTCCAGGGCAGCCTTTAAAGCTGTTTTAAGATATCACAGGATAGTTTTATCCACTGACCTTTTGTAGCTCTAGGTCAGACTTTTTGAAATACAGTAGCTACATTTGTTACTCCTTATCTTCCACCTCTGATGATGCTTACTGTGTTGATGGCAGGCTATTACTGGAATAATGCTCAGAGGGCAGAGTAATATCACAAGCAGAAGACTACAAATTTAGATGTTAATTCTCTGGCTTGTCTTTTTCATTTGTTGTATGTTTGTTTCTAACTCAGCCTTTTGTCTAATATTTATATTACTTGTGACCAATATAAATTCTGAAGTCTAAAATCCTAATTAAATTAAGTGAATATAAAAGCTTTTCATGACATTCCGCCTCCCCCCACCCCAGGAACAGACTATTAATCTTTTAACAAACAGTTCAAGTGGACAAACAGATCGATGTAAAACAGATCTTTAAAGGGGCTAAAACAAGTTCATAAACTTTGTAAGTTACTGCTTGATACTGATGTTTTCTATGCAATTAATGTTTCCTGTGACATAGGGGCACAGAGCTTATCTTGAACATTTGAGTAGTTTAAGTGGACTTATACTAGCATTTGTTCTCCAGTGTCCTTGTCCCTATCACCCCACATCCCAAAACTCCCCATGCTCTCAAGTGAAGGCAGCAGTTTTCAAAGAATGGAATGGTGCAATGAGGCTCTATAGCTAGTGTTCCCCAAGATGTAAAGTGAGGCAGAATGGAACAAGGCAATTAGGCTCTTTATTTTAAAAAATCATCATTTCCTCCTGGAGTAGAAACACCCACAGTATTTATCCTGGTCTACATTGACTGCTAAAATGCGTTCAGCATAGTGCCAGCTAATATGTTTGGTAGCAACCATGTTCAGCATGGTACAATCTACGGTTGTCAAGAATCATGTTAGCTGACATGATGATGGAGGTCAGTTTAGAATAGTCTCCAATACAGGGCCTAGTAACACAACTCTTGAAAACCATGCAGAGCCATGGGGATAAATTGTAGCACAGAGAAGGCCTAAGTGTGGGGAGGATAGAAGGGGAAAATGATTAAAACAACTCCTGGGGTTCTTTGCTATAGCAAATTACTCTACAGACTAAGTGGTGGAAACATTCACCCTCTGCACATACAATTGTTGTGAATGGCTGCACCCCTGTGTTGGCAGGGCAGTTGTTGTGTGTGTGTATAAAGGGGTGGGTTTGAGGAGGAAGCAGGGTCCAGGAGACATGCAGCAGCTTCTGAGTTGCTCCCTATCCTGCAGGTGTTAGCACTTCCATAGCAAAGCAGATCTTGTGGATGGCTGTGTTGTGTGGGCAGCTAGTGGCAGATGGGGAAGAGTCTCTTGAATGAAATTTTGGCCAGAGGCAGTCACTGATATTAATGGCCTCGTCTGTGCTAAAGTACAAGTGTTTTTGTAATCAGTTCATGATGCTCTGATCTGACTGGGGTTACCCCAAACACTGTGGAGGTGTGTTCAGGCAGCAGCTTTTCTTTCAAAACCCAATTTGCGTGTTAACCATGTTTGTGTGTCTACAGCATGTGCCATGACAGCAGGCTCAGTGCAGTTCTTCCACCCAAGGGGCTTGTGCACTCCAGGGACACTTCTTCTCTGCAACAGTTAGCTTGAATTAGGCTAGCTTGAACTCCAGTGTACTATCTCGAGTGACAGAAACCATCCTGTGAAACAACACTTGAGCTACTCAGAATGATTGAATTAGCAGTACAGAAGCATTGGATTAGCGATGTGTTGCTGTGACTTGAGCTACTTGCATCCCCACTGCATTACTGTACTATCTCTAGTGAGTTTCAACCTCCCTGCCCAGAGGCTGCTCTGGGCACAGGCAAGGTAGGCAGCTGCCTAGGGAGGCAGATTTCTGAGGGCCACACATGATAGGACCTCCCTGGTTTCCTTCCATTGGTGGTGGTAGGGGCTGAGGATGGTGGGGCTACCTGGGAGATGGGATGGCCACCAGCTGGGGCTCAAAGGAGCAGAAAGTGACCTCAACTGAGGTGCCAGGGAAGTGCTCCCGCCTGCTCCTCAGACCTCAGCCACTCCCTGCCCCCACCACAAGTGAGATCGTGGCTGTGGCTGAGGCACTGAGCAGCTAGGGGTTGCTCCTGGTGGCATCGCAGGCACTGCTGTTGCTTCAGCTCCATGTTGGCACCCAGCCCACACCTCCTACTCCATGCCTGGCACTGTGGGCCCTGCCCTGGACTTGCCCTGTGCTATGGACCTGACAGGAAGGGGCTCATCCAGAAAGATATGGGGGCAGAGTGGGAGCCAGGTGGAAGTTACTAGGGGCTGGTTCGGGGGTGTGGCATCCTGGGGGCCAGATGGTGTGTGTGGGCTGAGCTGGGGAGGCAGGAGGGTTGTGGGGGGCAGATGGCAAGTGGGTGCCTGTTGCAAACTTCTAAGGAGGTAGGAAGACGGCAGCACACTGAAGTTTTGTCTAGGGTGGTGGATTGGCTTGAGGAGCCTCTGTCCTGGAAACCCACCCCCTTCCCCACTGGGCCTGCTCTCTCGAGATTAAAGCACTCGAACTACAGACTTTTGTGTATGGATGGGAGTCGAGTTAGGAACAATATTTGTTATAGCTGGAGCTAACCATGCAGTGAAGACAAGCCTTGAGACAAATATATTAGCGTACTTGCTGCCAATGGCTCCCAACCTATTTTGGTGTTGTTGGAGCTCCCACGTATGTCTCCGATATTCCACGTCCTGACATAGTTGTTTTGCTCTCTCCTTAGTTTTTCTCTCATTTTTCCTCATCTGTGCCTTGTTTTTATCCCGTTTTAGTTGTATGGGTTTTTTTGCTGACCGTTCTCCCTCTGTAGCTTGGATCCCCCTCCACATTCTCCCATGCACCACAAGGCGAGATGATGCTTTGGGAAGGGCAGGGACCGGCTGAGCTGAATACCACTGGAGTAGAGCAGAAAAGCTTGTGGTGGCAGGCTGCTACCTGAGCCTGTAGCCCCGTACATGAGCTTCTCCTGGAATCACAATAGGTGAGAATTTTCCAAGGAACCCCCAGCCATTTCACTTGCAGGTAGAGTGGGCTATTCCCTCCATACTCCTCTCCTCTTCTGCTCTGGACCCTCAGAAGTATTTGGGGTCAGGAAGGAATTTTTCCCCAGAGTCAGATTGGCAGAGACCCTGGGTATTTTGTCTTCTTCTGCAGCACGGGGCACAGGTCACTTCAGGTTTAAACTAGTGTAAATGGTGAAGTCTCTGTAACTTGAAGTCTTTTAATCATGATTTGAGGACTCAGTAACTAAGCCAGAGGTTAAAGGTCTAATACAGGAGTGGGTGAGCAAGGTTCTGTCACCTTCAATGTGCAGGAGGTCAGACTAGATAGACGATCATCATGGTCCCTTCTGGACTTAAAATCTGTGAGTCTATGAAATGAACTGGACTCAGCCTATAGGCACCCAAGCCCTGCACCAACTGAGCTGGTCCTACATGCTCTCTGCTGTTCTGTGGATGCCACAAATGTTTGGAGGGGGGAGGAGTGGGAATAGCCACTGGCCACTTTTAAATGCGGGAAGCCACAGCCCCGCACTTGTGAGTACATGAACTCAGCAGAGGTGCAACAAGGGGGATTCTACCCCCGCCCCTAATCAGGCTGAGCATTATAAAAGCAGAGCCCCTTTCCTGCTGGCATGGCGGAGGGGCAGCCAGGCCAAATCTGAGTGGTGTTGCAACCCTGTGTGTGCCAGGTCGCAAGGCCACTCACTCTAATCCGGCCCGTCCACCCCGCTGCCCTGCACTTTTCCCAGTCCTCCTGGTGCCCCCCATGACTCCTTGCCTCCTCCGCGCCCCCACCGTCTCCCCCCATTGCTATCCCTCCCTGCATGGCCAGAGGGCTCTGGAAGCGATGGGTGAGGGGCCGCGGCTCCACGTGGGCCCCTCTCCGCGCAGCAGCGCCCGTGTCCAGGGGCTCCAGGCGCCCGCTCCCTGCTCGGCCGGGCACACAGGCGGGGAGGGACGAAGGGCGCCCTCGCTGCGACGGGGCGGGGACTGACTGCCCGGGCGGCGCAGCCCCCGTCCCTCCTCCCCGGCGTGTGTGCATGCTGGGCTGGGAGGAGGCTTCCCCCGGCCGGGCCAGGGGAGGCTCAGATTCAAGGAAGAGACCGAGCCGAGAGTTGCCGGAAACGTCTAAGCGGCAGCCGCGCTAGCCCGGGGGAGCCCGTAATGCCCTGGAGGAACAATGTGAGCAGCTGACAGCAACTCAGGAGCGCTGCTGTATCCGCCGCCTGCTTTGCTACGGGGCCGGGCCAGACTCAAGGGGGCCGGCTCGTGAGAGAAGTAAACTTCCCCGGGACGGGGAGGGGGGACGCGCTTTCCTGCAAGTTCCCTTCTACTCCCCCCAAGCCCGAGCTCCTGCTCTCTGCTCAGCCTCGCCTGGCCCCCCTTGGCAGCGGGGCTGCTGCCGCTACTGCCATGGGGCTGCCCACTCTGGAGTTCAGCGATTCCTACTTGGACAGCCCGGATTTCAGAGAGCGGCTGCAGTGTCACGAGATTGAGCTGGAGAGGACCAACAAGTTCATCAAGGAGCTGATAAAGGACGGCAGTCTGCTCATCGGGGCCCTCAGGAGTGAGTAGGGGGCAGTGCGAGCCCTGAGAAGGGTGGAAGCGGGACAGGGCATATCTGGGGTGGGGGAGAAAGAGGCTTCTTTTGTTTGAATGGATGTAGGGAAAGGGCTCCCCTGCTGGCAGCCAAAACAAAGTTTGCTAAAGTTTTTGTCCCCCACCTCCTTATCTTCAGGGAGATGGATCAAAGCGTGGGGATGTTCAGTCTTGACTTGCATGTCATTTTTCTTGTCTTTTTGCATAGCCGGTGTGTTTCTGAAGTGACCCCAGCGTTCAGCTGTGTGTGTTTTAGGAGCGGGTGGTTGTGCCCAGTCTAAGACCCAACTCATTCCTGATGAATTCAAGTGCTGTAAGAGCACAGTGACACTTTAGATAACAATGATTCCTTGATAATCAAAGCTGCATCTGTGTGCCTGTGTAGTATGTATTTTCACATGTGTGCGGCAGTTAAAACATACATGGTAAGGCTGCCATGAGGGAAATCTTCCCAGCAAGTGAGGGGAATAAGTCCCATATGGATTTGTGGGGATCAAAATTCAAATAGAGAATGTCAGTATAAACTCACACCTATCACACTTTCTCAGTAATTGCATTCATCACTAGCTAACTGGTATCTTGAAGAGGTGGTTCTAAACAATGATGGAAAATTTTATGTTAAATGGCCAAAGCAACAAATTGGATTTTTAATGGATTTGAGTGTGAGAGAGTATTTGTACCTTTTCTGGGTTTGTTGTATATTTCTTAATGGATGTTTTGGTTTTTAAATATAAGCTGATAGCTTTTTGACTTCAATGTAACTATGTTTAGGAAGATAGTGAAGGAATGAGTCAACTAAATAGCTTAATGTTCCACTTTCCTTGAAGTTCCGGGTACTTTTATTGAGTGGTGAAGGGGGCTCTTAATGTGTTCTGGGAAATGGGCCTCTTGTTGGAGTTAAATCTGAAGAATGTAGAGCAAACATTAAAGATTATTTCTGGTGTAACTGCTTCCATTTTGCACCTTCCCCCCACTCTAGCCATGGTCATCCACTTCTTATCATTTAGTCAGACTGGATGATCCCTTTTGCCTGTTGATCAGACATATTTGGTCAGAGCTATTACTTGGTCAGAGGAGGTGATGACATACAGTTTCTCTTGCTATTTCCTTTGGTTGTTAAACGTCGCATATCTCCACCATAACGTACTACGTCTTCACATACATTTTTCTCCAAATGATTATTTAATACTAGTAAAAGCGAGTGTTAGCGGTATCACTGAGCCTGGCAAGCTGTGAGCAGGTGTTACAACAAGCTCCTTATACATCTGTACTGTACTAGTAAACCTCACTGTTTCTTGTGCTATGACATTTGTCTCATTGCTCAGAACAGGATTCGAACTTGCAAGTATTATAGGTGGGCAACAGTGTTATTGACAATTTCCACTGCTCATTATAGGTATAATGTAGGTAAGGTATTTGTATTTATATAAATAAAATAATCAGAGGCTTTGGTGATATGTGCATATAAACCTAAATACAATTGCACACATATCTACTCTCGGGATTAGCTTGGGTCTAAGAACTTAATTTTATGCAAGTACAAACTGATTTAAATTTTCAGCTGTACCTAGTACCTGCAGTGCATATCTTCCGACTCACAGATCTTTGTTCATGTAGAAAATGTGCAGGTATATATAAGTACATAAGAACGGCCATACTGGGATTTAGCCCAGTCTCCTGTCTTCCAACAGTGACCAATGCCAGGTGCCCCAGAGGGAATGAACAGAACAGGTAATCATCAAGTGATCCATCCCGTGTCGCCCATTCCCAGCTTCTGGCAAACAGAGGCTAGGGACACCATCCCTGCCTATCCTGGCTAATAGCCATTGATGGACCTATCCTCCATGAACTCATCTAATTCTTTTTTGAATCCTGTTATAGTCTTGGCCTTCACAACGTCCTCTGGTAAGGAGTTCCACTGGTGCCGTGTGTGAAAAAATACTTCCTTTTGTTTGTTTTAAACCTGCTGTCTATTAATTTCATTTGGTGCCCCCTAGTTCTTGTGTTATGAGAAGGAGTAAATAACACTTCTTTATATACTTTCTCCACACAAGTCATGATTTTCTAGACCTCTATCATGTACCCCCTTAGTCATCTCTTTTCCAGGCTGAAAAGTCCCAGTCTTATCCCTCCTCAAATGAAAGCCGTTCAATACCCCTAATAATTTTTGTTCTTTTCTGAACCTTTTCCAATTCTAATATATCTTTTGTGAGATGGGGTGACCACATCTGCGTGCAGTATTCAAGATGTGGGCGTACCATGGATTTATATAGATTTACCATGTACCATGGATTTACAATATAGCCAGGAACTTTGATGCTACAGATTAGCTAAAGCTTGTTCAGTTAGTTTATAGATTGATTTTAGATTTGTTCTCTGTTTAAAACAGGAGATTTCAAAGAAATCACCAGTCATAAACTTCAAATACTCTTAAACTAAGAGAGAGAAAAAGTTGTATTACTTCTTGCAAGCATGTAAGTTTTTTCTTTTCCCTCTATATGGCTTTGACTCAACTCTATAGATGAAAGTATTTGAAGCTAGATAGCTGGCAAAACCAAACTGGCCCTGATCCTGTGTGGTCTTGAGCATGTACAACTTTTCTTATCAGTGGGTGCTTAGTGCTTTTCTGAGCCAGATTAATTTGTGTTCACATCTGGAATTGACAGGCGCTTTGCTGCTTGTTTTGAAACTAAATAAAATATGAACAAGAAATTTCTTCTTAATTGGTAACCTAAAGAGGGTAGAAGTGGAGGTTGGTGTGCGTGGATAGTGTTATTTGGACACACTAATTTATGCCCCAATCTTGCAAACCCACTCTTATATGTGTTAAACTTCACACATGTGAGTAGTCCCATTGAGTTCAGTGCTTGCAAGATTGATACCTTACGCACATGTTTTCAACCACTTTCCCATTCTCTGGGGGAAGAAAAAACAGTTCTATGATGATTAGAATTATTTGTTCCGCAAGTCTTAATTAGCTTAGAGCCTTATTTAAGAATTTCCTTCTTGTTTGACATCACTCATTTTATTGTACAAACGATATTCTGAAGTGCTCATTGCCGAGTCCTCCAAAGCTGAGATCTTTTATTTTCTAGAAAGAAGTACCACTCTCCTCCCAGCTCTGTTCAAATGGCTGTTAGTGACCAGATACAGATATTTGACTCAGGAGAGTAATGCCAGGGTAACTTATAACAAGGTGACTTTGGAAGTGTCTGTGTTTATAGGGGAAAAAATGAGAAATCTGTTATAGTACCCCCAGGTGGATTTTGGTATAAAGGAGGACTGCAAAAACACCAACACTGCTCTGGCAAGTAACAGCTGTTTACAAGAACTAAAGTTCTCATGTGGAAGGCTTTTAAAATCAGTGCAGTGTTATAGCAAGGCTGTTTTGTTTGAGTTGGAAAATCTAATCAAATACCTGAGTAAATAATTAATGTAATGACAGACTCTTGTGTTTTGGTCTTCAAGCCTTAACAGTCTGTTATGCAATCTTGGAGAACTGCTGTTTTCATTTACTCTGTCCCACATTTCTTTGGTGAACTAGTATTAATATTCTTTGATCTACAGATACTCTCTAAGAAATTGCTTACAAGTAGAGCTGTATGAAACTCAGAAACTTTGGATTTCAAGAGTTTCAGTGAGTGTTTATGTACCTCTTTTGCATTTTGTTTAAAACTTTTAAAAGGAATTTGATTGCATATGGATCTTCATGTTGCCTTGCTGTTGTTTAAGAGGGTTCTTTCTGGGAAGGGAGAAATGGAGCACCTGATGCACAGCCTAATGAAGTCTATGAGAATCTTTCCACAGACTTCAAAGGGTTTTGGAGTAGGTCTTTCCACAATAAATATGTAGGAGAAACAGTGAAACTGGCTCTACTTAAATTGAAAAGACAGAGAGAAAAATTTCTTTTTCTAATTTTACAATTATCTAAATCCTAGGTGTTACTTGTAACTCTAGATATACAATTTTCAGATGGAAATAAAAGTTGATGAGTCCTTTCCCATGGTTAAAGTGGCTTATAATGAACACTTGTCAGGATAAATTGTAAAAATGTAGTCTTAAAAAATCTCTGGCAGGATGCCCTGTATGTTGGTAAACGTTGGATGAATGAGTTTAGTATTTAACGTAGGGGTGGGCAAACATCCGGCCCTTCAGACGTTTGAATTGAGCTCCGGCCATGGAGCAGAGTCCAGGGCTTGTCCCACTCTGGTGCTCCAGTTGGGGAGCAAGGTCGGGGACTTGCCCCGCTCCACGTGTACTGTTGCTCCATGCAGCTCCCGGAAGCAGAGGCATGGCCCCATTCCGGCTCCTACATGTAGGGGCAGCTAAGGGGCTTGGCACGCTGCCCCTGCCCCTAGCACCGCCCCCGCAGCTCCCATTTGCTGGGAACCACGGCCAATGGGAGTTGCAGGAGTGGCACCTGCAGACGGGGCAGAGCTGCCTGGCTGCGCCTCCGCGTAGGAGCTGGAGGGGGGATGCCGCTGCTTCTGGGAGCCGCTTGAGGTAAGCGCTGCCCAGAGCCTGCACCCCTGCCCTCCTCCCATGCCCCAATCCCGTCCGTGATTCCCCTCCTGCCCTCCGAACCCCTTGGTCCCAGCCC